GCTCTGGAAAATAGTATTAAAATATGCGATTTTACTTCTATTATCTATAAAAATAGGAATAAAATAAAATAAAACATTAATAAAATATGGCTCTTTCTTTTGGTGGAATATTATGATAGAATTAAAATAGGGTTGCTTCTGAATAAAACAGCATAAAAATAGGGGTGATAGTAATAAAATAGCTTTAAAATAGCAATATAATATATAGTTATTTTGGCCAAAACACAATATTGACTTTGGTCAAAAGGCGTGGTTGTGTGCGCATGCAAAGAACAAGTATAGATATTGCGTGACTCAACATTATTTCTATCTCGCAAAAAATAACTAATACTAATGCTAATTACTGTCAAACTGTAGGTAAAAGTTGAATATCCTGTAAATATGGAGTGATTATACTTAAATTGTAAATAACTATATAGTGTACAATATATACACACAAATTCTTAACACAACAAATTAGACTAAAGTGCTAATTGTCTAACTGACGTTGAATCAGTTGATTCATTTGTTCCATTGTATATTGTAACTGATTCGTAAGTTGGGGGATTTCCCTGGTTAAAAGCACGTTTAGTGCCTCTGGATTTTCTCGTGCAATCTCGTGATAAGGTCGCCTGCCGGCTCGTGCGTTAACGTTTGGCACTGGAATTGCGTGGTCAACAGGCTGTGGAGGTGGAACTTCTTCCTCATCTTCTTCGTCCTCTCCAGGAAACAAACCTTCAGCGTCGTTTGGGTCTTCGCGAAGGTCCTGGCCTTGGGGTTGAGGGGGTGGAACAAGGTTATTAGCCTCGATGAAACCGTCAGCATAATTTCGTAATGGAATGTTGCCATTTTCATTGCCATGTTGTTGGACATTAAAAACGAAATTAGCTTGACGGTTAGCATTGACAGGAGCGATATGCTGTTGGACGGCTCCTCGGGCAGCTCCTCTTTCAAGAGGATCCATTTGATTTGCTTATCGCATTTCATTAGCTCTTTCTAGCAAACCCCTAAAACAAGAACTTTCAGTATCGTCTTCAAAGCCAGATGTAAAAGGAAAACATTTAAGTTTACTAACTGTCGTTGCTCTCTTCCAATGAAGTTACGCACTCTTCTTCGGACTACAGGACGTTCGGCTGCATTATTGTAAAGCACGCGGACATCTTCGCGAAGTTGTTGAAAACGTTCGTCCCATCAACATTAACGATGACGTCCCAAAGAGCACCGTTCCTGTTGTACATCTCGTGAAGCATTTTTCGTTCCTCTTGACGAATTAATCTTCGGGGTTGTCTTGGTCTTGGAGGCATGGCTCAAATTGTTGTAACACGCTTGCAGAATGCACTTTAGCTTATGATATAATTTATGCGTATATATGAACTAAATCTTGTGGCATTGAAAATACTATATTTCCCAACGGTATATATATTGTGAGTTGCAGCATTGTGCAATGTACGCTTTAAACTTTTGTATATCGTGTAAACTACAGTAGATCTAACGAAACCCCAGGAAAATATTCTTACTGGTTTTTTAAATCTAAGTAATTAAGCTAATTTTATCGACGCTTTGTCTTTATAGGCTTAACGTGAACATGCAAGTTAGGTCTGTTAGGACATGGAGTTGCATATAAGTTCGCTTGTATAGCTATGTATATTTAATTGACAGTTCTGTTCATATATTCATACAAACTAAATTTTTCATGCAACGTTTTATGCGAATCCCGGCACAACAATGTTCGAACAGTTATATAATGTACATCGATCGAATTTGTGGCGTATGTCATTCTAAATGTTGTGCATGTATCAGTAATTCAAAGCGGGACGTATGTGAATAGTCAATACTCTCTGCTCAATACTTTTAAGACCAATTTATAACTACACAACATTTCTATATCTACATAATTGTCTTCATCTGTCCATCTAACCGTGAAATATGTACTTATAGGTCGCTATTGTACACCGTATTAGCATATAGCCTGCATGTAACCAATCAAATTCGAGATTTTTGCTTATGCAAATTTTAAAACTGAATATAAGCTCGCTTACGTCCTTAGATGCAGGTCAACTATTAGTTGACCTGCATCTAAAGCCTGGCGCACACGATGCGATTTTAGTCGGCCGATAAAAATCGTGTGCGCCAAACTAACAAAATCGTTGTGCGTGCGGTGTCATTTTTAACCGATTTTTGTTGCTCGATTTTAATTGGACAACATCAAAACGTTTTGATATTATACGATTTTTATCGGTGGAATTTTAAGTATAACCAATCAGATTTCGTGCTGTGATCACGTGCTTGTATTTATTTGGCAACATGGCGGCTACAGTTCAGGGAGCACAGCCTAGTCCCAGGCTCTCTTTCTATTCGCTGCTTTGATATATTTAAATAAGTCTTAAAAGTTTTATGCCTGGGTGTGCTGTGCGGAACGCTTCAGCGAGAGAGCCTAGCAGATTTCGGTAAAATGGTCCCTGATTTCAAAAAAGT